TCAGAACCTTTGATCTCTGTGTTTTTGAACATAGTATGAGTTTTTTCATGATAAAAGTCTTTCTCATTGCCAGGTTATCTCTTTTTCCCCTCAAAAAATGCTACTCAACAGTTTTACTACTTCATTCAGGATATAATACTCAACAAGTAATAAAAACAAAGCCTTAAAAATTTCTCCATATTGCAAGCAAGGAAAATGAATGAAACTGTCCCTACCATAGAATCATAGAATAGTTTGGGCTGGTAGAGATCTTTAAAGGTCATCCATAAACCAGTCTTAGCCGGTGAAGTTTTTTCTTTTGATACCAGGGCTTTAATGTGCTTTTACTGAATCATACATAACTAGCATGTATTTAATGTGGTTTTTGTTTTTATTAATATAAGCAAGTCTTCAGGCAGTTACACCAATCTGATTGCTGTGATGTCGTGCTTTGCACAGGTTGTAAATGACTAGTTGTCCACAATAAATAAAGCCTAGACAACACTGACCAAGAAGAAGTCTGAGGACTATGTCCAGCCTGACCTGATGTTTCAGTCCAGCCTTCCCTTTTCCCCTGGAGTCCAGGCAAAGCAGTTCTCAAATAAACAAACATCGTTCAGACAGCCCAGATCTGCTTCTTACAACCATCAGAAAGTTGGTGAGAGGTAGTGAGGGGCATAGGAACCACTGGAGAGGGTACAGTGGCCTCTGCCCACAACTCCCTTCATCAGGTTCCAGCTGCAGCAGCCAACGTGCTGCATTAGCTGGAGGGAAGCCACCAGATAAACCAAGACTTACACAAAACCAGCTCCTGTCATTAATCATTAAACATTGGTTCAGTCATTTTCTAAGAGAGATTCACTGTGGAACCACATCATATTTGTCTCTGTGGAACCTTGAAAATAATACATCAGAATTATTTCAAAACCTGGGAGAATTCAGGGCTAAAGTGTTTACGTAACTACTTTTCTGGTAGAAAGACATAAATAACACAGTGTCAGAAAATTAAGTGTCTGCTAACACAAGGTCAAATTCTAGTTTCAAGTTCATTGCCAAAAAAGCTAGGTTCACTTTAGCTACAGCTATTTTCACCTCTACACGCTATTAATCAGAATATCTGTCTAGACAATGGAAAGTGCCTCTCCCATTCATAAAGCTGTGAAGTACTCACCCAGGAGTACAAGTAGAAGATGGCTGCATCTTTGATGTTCTGGATCTCATCTGAAAAAACGTTAAGTATGCAACTGAGTGGCCAGGAAAAAAGCTGTTAAATACTCAGAAAATATATATCTTTAACATTTACCAAAATTGTCAATGCTATTTGAAAAAATAATGAATGTACACTTACCTTTGCTAGCAAGCTCTTTCTTGATAGCAAAGATAGAAATTCATTATTTTTTTCAAGTAATGAATTAGCTTCTTGCTAAAACAACCAGAGGGAAAGCAGTAAACCTTAAATGATTGCCACTGGATTTTAGGTCTAAATTTCCCTTTCCAGAAACATGTCCGGTTTTCTTCCCAGCCTAAAAGGCTGTAACATCTGGCATGTCTACATCCAGTGTCAGCACTGCTGTCCCCCTCCAGGTATGAGGGAGAGGGATGCTGTCCGCCAGTGCGTGCGCAAAGCGTTGCGTCTACCCTGTTCCCTTTCGGTGGCCGGCCGGGGGGTTGCCCGTGTGCCTTGCTGTGCCTGCTCTGCTCTGGATGAAGGAGAGCCCTGAGCTGGGAAAGCCGTCTGGAGCGTGGGTGCATGACCCAGCAGGCAGGAAGCCTGCGGCGAGGGCAGATATTAGGAGATGCCTGAAAGAAGCAGAAAATGGCAGAGCCAAGCCTCTGAAGCAACAGCGAAATTCTTTCTTGGAGACCCAGAGGCACCGGGGGTGAGGTTGTGCAAGACAGCTGGGACAATCTGACAGCTTGCTGCTACCAAAAGTGAGTGTTTCATGCTGCTTCAAAAAGCTGGGGGTGTCAGACACACACAAGAGCTCATGTAAAAGAAGGAGCAGACAACTGCAGTCAGAAGAAGGAAGTAAGCCTAGCCTTTGGGGCAGCCACTAGCTCAAATTTCTCCAGAATATTTAGCCTGTGTGGAGCCTGATGCAGCCCAAAATGCCACAAAATGTTGCTGGACTGAGACAAAAAAACTGTGAAGAGAAAGCAGATTTTCTTAAAATTTCTGTTATATTATGTTCTCACTGAGAAGAAACTGAGTGTCCGTATTTTAAACATTGATTGTCCTCATTTAGCTAAACTTAAATGTAGCCTTTAGAAGTTTACAGCCCTCTAGGTGATTATGGTGTGCCCACTGTAAAGAAAAGGTCCAGGTAGGCTCAACTCTAAGCTTTGGACGACTCAAGGTCCTTTCACAGTTAAAGAGATCCTAGCCTGGATTCCTTGGGATGAAAGAGGCCAGGGAGCAGTTCCCCAAGGATGTTTGAGGGAGCAATTGTCTTTGGCAGGGATGACCTGAAGGCAGCAATAACCTATGGAGCCATTATAGCTGCAGCTGCAAGAGAACGTGTGTCCACAGTCTCTGTAAACAGCAATTTATCACTGCACATTCAGAAATGTAAAATTACCCTGCTAAAGCCTACATGCAATCTCAGAAAAGACATTTTACACAGGAAATGGAAAACTAATCTGTATGAAAATGCTATTAATAGCAGTAGTTTCAGATTAAATCAAAAGGAAGATTCACCTTAGCCTTGCTTTGAAAAAGCACAAGTGGGGCAGGACATGAGTTTGATATCATTCTTCTGGAGGATAATTTTTTTCATTGTCTTTAACAGGATTGGAAACAAATATGAAATAAACTTGTTACTAGAAATAGATAGTTCCATGGACTATAGATAAAACAAAAAAAAACAAGCAAGAAAAAATATTAAGAGCTGTGTGTCTTGGGAAGGGGCTGTTTTATTATAGCCAAGGTTTCCAGCCTGTACACCCATAACCGTACATAGTCTGAGAAGTTTGGAGAAGGGCAGGTTTGGGTAACATCAGTTGGGAAACTGTAAGATATCACAAATCAGAAAAGACTGATGACTGTATCTATAGAAACAAATGCAAAACAGTCTGGAAGTCCTTAGTCAAATGGAAATACAATTCATCAATTTCTGAAAAGAAAACTAAAAAAAAAATTGGAGGAATCGGTCAAAAGTAATAGTCTTCACAGACTAAAAGAATTTAGGTCCCATCCAAGGTTTTTACTGCTTTTCAGAGGTGTTTCTGTGCAATCATTACATTAGCTCCTAATGACCCAAACCAGTTTCAGCTTTTTAACCAGCAGGAGAGTCTGAGCTCATCTCTCCAAGACATATTGCTATAATATCTATGAGAAATGTTGTTTTAGAAGCCAGAAGCCCTTTCCCCCTGTCGAGCTGAAAGTTAGGCTGCATCTCTCTCAGCTTACTCATCATTCACCACCACATCATCTAATTAAGTGGGTTGAATCTTGGCCACATCACATGTAAAACAAGTCACATAAAACATTTTCTAACACAGTTCTTTTAAAATTGGTTGGAACTTTGAGACATTACAACTCAAATGTGAAATGATATCTGAAATACTTTAGATATTTACGTGAGACCTTACAATTTTATATCTTTCCTGTCTGAGAAAAAAAAATTCACATTGAGCATGAAGTGGATGTAATGCAGATCAAACATCACCTCCTCTTATTTTTTTTTTTCAAATGACCTGTAAACATATTTCTCTAAATAATTAGGAGAAAAGGTGAAGGTATCCAGTAATCCCAAATGCTAGGATTGAAAGGCATGGGAAGGAAGAGGAAAAAGGTCCAAGAGTCTGGGTGGTAGGTGTGCCTGTACCTCCACCCAGCGTACAAGAATGACCTACATCCTGCAGTGGAGGAAGTCTGTGGAAACACCAGTCCTCCTGCCCTCCTCCATGGAACAGCCACTTCTCCTGTCCCACCACAGCAGGCTGAAGTCATCATTAAGCTGTTGTGGGCATTACGATAACACGTGGTCATTATGTGTTATGTGCAGTCACACACGTCTGGACTGCAGCAGTGGACTCTTCATCAAGCAAGCAAGACTCACCCAATTTAGGAAAGATGGTGAGAATCACATCATTGCTCCTGGTTTCAAAGGATTTCAGAGCTTCCAAAGTTTCTGGCCTGCTCAGAGCCCTTAGGCTACAAAATGCCTTTGCAGGAAAAAACCCAACAGATCTTGAGATGCCATCTTTTCATCTTAGTAGAGGCCTTCTGAGTATTTCAGTGACTGTTTCCCCATTTCTGGTCAGGCTTGATCCCTTGTTCAGCTCCTTGCAGACACTGAGATGCACACTGCTTTCTTTTATCTAGTAGCTTTTGATATCACCATGTAGGAAATAGTAAAGGGCATATATTAAGGAATAGATTAAAATGTTGCTAATTCCAAAATTATGGGGCATAGGTGGTGCTTGTCTCTAACCTAAGCAAATCTATGATTATATGAAATTCTGTATTCAGAGAGATCCCTAAGAATGGTGTTCCCCATTCCCCTTCATTCTCCTCCCTCTAGCTTTGATCTAGTTTGTGCTGAAGTCATGGGGAAGATATCCTTGGTCATTAATTAAGGTTGTGTCAGATCCATATTTTTGCTAGTGATCTTTTCTGTGAAGATGTTGCCCAATTTGAAACATTTTGCAGAAAAAAATATTTCTACATACTAAATAATTAGGAGTAGTCTGGAAAGACTGAGTTTGGCTAGAAAGGGAAAGAGAAAAGGGACATTTCCTTCCAGGTGACAGCTACTGAAACAGGGCTGTTAAGTTTATTTGAATATGGTTAGTTGCCGTCTTATTCAGCAAATGGGTGTAGCCAAAGCAAGCCAAAGATGTCATCTTTAAAACAAAAGCCCACTGTTCAACATTGCCACTGTAAAGGCTGCTGCAATGTGATTATCACAGTAATTCTAAAGTGCTTGGATCATTTGATCTAGTTTTCTAGTACATAACATTCAGATGGTCTGAGAGTGCGTTGGAAAGCTCTTGCTCTAGCCACATTTTATTATGCTTCAGGCTTTACAGTACAATTCATACTTCAACTTTTTTCCCAGTGTAGTTCCTCCTACATGTTCTTCAAATGCTTTGTCCATTTTCTCATTCTGATCTTCACTGAAAAGATTCTTCCAGTCACTCACACCACCTTCAAAGAAACAAAGAAACACTTGAAAAACAAGAAATTTTATTGCTTTTTATTCTGTAGACCTGTCATTCTTGTTCCATTGTATACTAAATGTAGTTGATCCATTTTCACCCATTTTTGCACCAATATGATTTTGTGAAGTCAGTGGAGCTACAGATCTGTGAAACTGCTATAATGCAACGGAACATAGTCTTGTTCAGGACTGTGTCCAAAGAAGCAGCCTGAAGTCCTGTTCCCCTGCAGCTCTCTACTCCAGTCAGTAATGACTGACAAGGTGGAAGATTATGAAGGTTTGATTAAGAATCATCTGGCAGGAGGCAGAGCTGGTTTTCAGCTCCCTTGGCAGCTTGAGCTTTCATCCAGTGACGTCTTTAATGTAAGATGCAGAATAGATTCTGACAGACAGGTTGGCCTCTCACGTCTGTGTTCTCTACACTACATTGCAGAAGTAGTTCCCTTTTGTCTTCCCTTCTCTATGTACCTGATTCTTGCATGTTTGGCTTCTGATCTCTAACTGTGAACAGGGGGTCGTCAGTGGCCCTTTCAGGAGATCCTACACTCTCCTAAAAAGCGTGGTCATGCCACTCAGGCTCAGGTTGGCCCAGTTTTGCCTGCTCAGCTAAGCCTCTAATGTCTGAGTAAGCAGTGGTCTTGGCGCAGAGATGGAGAGTTCAGGCACATGACATCTCCTTCCTGCCAGTCATCTGTTGGCCTCTAAAATTTGCTCTGTGAGGTCGCTTCTCCTGTGCTGACTGCAGCCTGCTGCCAGAGCCTTGCCGGGTCTCTTCCTCACCAGTGCTCCTTGACTAGTTTTCTCAAGCGTAACAGTGATAATCTGCTTGATACTAATCTGTAATGCTAATATATGTGCAAAAAGGAAGCGAAGGATGGGTAGCCCAAGTTCTTGAGTGTGACATTTCTACCTCTGGACTTCTTGGAGCTTCCTACCTTTGCGAAAGAAAATATTGCCAAATGCCCCATGGGTCTTCTGAGAGTTCTTCTTCATTGACTGGAAGCTGGTCCTCTCTACCACACTCTGAAGTTCTTCCTCAGTCAGGGCAATCCCAAAGAAAGCAGCTATGTTCTTCACACCCAGGACCGGATTCTGAAAAGAGGAATGTAACATACCACATGACATTCAAACAGATTACGCTGCTTTCCGAGGCGTTTGCACTTCCCTACATCTGTCTGCTGGCTACGTATGTAGAGTTTTCATAGAGGTCGGTACAACTGGAGTGCTACATGGTCTTTCTTTTCTCCATAATTATTTCAGAGGAGATACAAGCTGTCTTCCTATGGATCGCAGAGGATTATACGTGATTTACAGTTGAGCAAAGTCTACACTGTTTAATATATAAAAGCCTCCCCCAAAAATTACTGGGGATTTTGATTTACAGAGATTTGGGCTTATATCACAGCTAAAGAGAAAACATGAATCATTTTCACAAACAAAATTTTTAAAAGGCCTTTAAGCTTGAATTTCACCTTTCCTTCCCTTAAAACAAGGATCTATCTCATATAGTATCACGCAGTTTGAATACGCTACATGTATATAATGGTTAATTGGTTTAGGAACAAATGCTCTTTGAAATAGAAAATATTTGTAACTATTGGTAACCTCACCTCTTTCAGCTCTTCATAAGTTATTGTCATAATATTTTCATCAGCAGCATATTTGTTCCATTTGGAAAGGTATTCAAAGTAGCATCCCCAGGGCACTAAATAAAACAAAAGATTCCTAAGATAAAGCATAAATTAAGATTAGACAAGCTCCTTATGAAATAAATCAATTTTTGCTCCTTAAGTTGATCCCTCAGTCATGGACATTATTAATCATATCTATGCCAGAATTTACGCCCTTCTGTGGGAATTATGGGGTTTTGCTCCCGGTTATTCTGACATGTGCACATGTTTCAGGCATATGACACAATTTGTAGGTCAGTATGTTAAAACTTGTTAGTATTTCAAGACAGATGTGAGTCCACCAAAGAGCTATCAGTACTCAAACCATCTTGCAAGCTCCCTTAATCCAGTTTAAAACCTTGTTTAACCCTCTCTTCTTCTGGCCATGTGGTATGCCAAACTGAAGAATTTAAGCAGTTTTAAACTAGTGGGTTTATCTTTTTTCTTTTTTAATGCGCTAGGCTTAGTCCAAATCATTCCTCTGGTCATCAATTTGGCATGTAGGTGTTCAGATGTCTGCATGGGCGCAAGATGATGAACATTGGAGAGGAGAGGTGAAGGGGATCCAAGATAGAGATGAGGAGGAACTGCTTCTTCCAGAGAAAATAGCAATTTGTGCAAGTTAAAGCAGTTTGTGGAAGTGCAGTTTTGATAAGGGTTTATCCTCAGGCAGTAAGACAAGTACTGTAAACTTTAATTCAAATTTCTAACTTTCTGTCTTTAATCTCTGCTTTTGTACTGTAAACCAAAAAATCCTAGTGAAGCTGATTTACAAAGTGCAAAGTTTTTAGACAAAGTCAAAGTATTGAATAATTGACATAGAAGAATATACTGTACTTTTCTTCGTCATGAAAGCTATGAAGAAATCATTCCAGGTCTCATAGGAGGGAAGAGGAGGCATGGCTTTGCAAAAATGGTAAAAAGATGTAGCTACATCTTTTGGATTGCGAATCAGCAACAATATCTAGGAAAAAAAAATATTTTACTTGTAGACAAAGATATAACAGACTATAGTATGAAGAAAACAATAATCTACTTTATAATTGCAGTTTGGGGAATTGCTAATATCTTGCACACTACCTGCAGAAGTAGCAATTCCATTCTAAATTCAGAAGGTGGATTATTTCACTTTGCTTCAGTACCTTGTGAAGATGATTGCCTATAATCATTAAAATATCTTCTACGGAATAATTTAATTATACAGAATCTAAGTATGTTTTGCTCAGTACAAGCATCATTCATCATTTAGGTAGTGGAGAAAAATCACAAAAATACAAATTCTCTCTGAAACTGGACACACTGAAGCCGTCACTTGTGACAACACCATAAAATGCCTCCCATAGGAAATTGTGTCAAAATACCTTTTCCTGCTGGAGGATTTATTCCATCCCCCCCATCTCGTTTGTGGAGACTTACACAAAGGTGTCAATAAGGATGAACTGAGATTAAGTGAAATGAATGGCAGTTCTTAAACAGGCATGTAGAAATGGCCAGGCTAAACACTTAAGTCTAACAGTGATTCTAAAAATTGGCAGAAAAGTACTAAATTGGCTTTTAAAAAAATCTGTTGGAGAGCCTGCTTTCAAGACATTAAAACTAGCGCTCACCTTGGCTTTATTTTTGAAGACAGACCTGGGAAGATTTTCAGGAAGGAGATGAGTAAATATAACTCTTCGAGAAGGTAATTTGTTCATTCGCTTTAAGAATTAGAAGGAGGAAAATGGACAGTTCGGTTAGTACAAGTATTTTTTTTTTCATCAGCCTATGACAAAATATTGCCTTGCTAAACTTATCAACAGTTATTGCCTGAGAGAAGTACTTATTTTTTGTGCGTGTTATCCTGGGATCTTAGTGGACTGCTCTGAGTAACTCTAATCTTCAAAAGCCCCTGAGAATGAGCGAATGGAAAAAGATTATCCATTGCTCTTCAGTGGTAATGAATTTAACTTGTTCTGTTAGACAAGGGGTCACATCTAAAGGTAAGACTCTAACTGGGGGTATGTGAAAGCCGAAGGTTCTCAAGGAAAGAGAGAGAAGGGGTGAGGAGGAAGAGCTAGTAAGAGAGACAAAAAAGCCAATATGTCAGTATTTGAAATTTCATGAAACTCTTCTTAAATACAAAACATGCTATGTTGAATTTCTGCAGTTCTTGCGTATCTGATGAGTCTGTGCTCCTCCCAAGCCCTCTGAAGTGTCCATTTATCCCTCAGCATTTGGCAATGCAGATGAGATTCATCCTGACCAGGTGCCACATACAGAGAAGTGCGAGAGTTCTTATCAAACAGTGGAATATTTCACACATGACATATACAGTATTTGAAGCACAAAATTTTTACAACTTTCATACATATTCTATGCCCACCTCATATTTCCCAGTATCTCCAATTTCAAGGTAGGGGAATTCTTCTAGTTCTTCATCATTCATGCTGCTTGCTTTATTCTGCATTTTCTCTTCAAATATGGCTACCAAATCAGTTAAGATTTGACCTACCCAGTTTGTGCCTGAAAGGGGAAAAATAGTGAATTGTTTGTAAAACCTTTGGAGTAAACAGAAATGGATTTGCCAGGAAAGCCAAGAGGTAGGTAGTACTACCAGGTGAGTTCCCTGGTCTCCTTTCACATGATACAATCACAGCTGACTATCTGGACAATCACCTCTCAGGGTCCTACCTTTGCTCATTTCTCCAAACTGGATGGCTCAGCACATCATAAATTAACTTGTATATTGTCAATTAACCTGTATATTGTAAATAACTAATAAAGGAGAAGAACCAGTAAGATTCAAATAGGAAAACATGCATTAATGTAATAAACTTTTACTGTGACAAGTGTAAGGGGGATTGGAGTGGTAAACCTGTACCTCAAAACCTGGTGTATTATATATGTTTTCTGATGTACTGCACAGGATTATCTTGGGAGGCAAGATGGGTCACAAAATGTCAACACAGGAGCAGAACTATATCTGAAAATTGTGCTGTATGTGCTCATTTTCTTTACCAATAGGCAAAAATTCTCTAAAGTGACATTTCCTATACACATTTAGTATATTTTTATTCAAAACATAAAAAAGAGCCTGTAGACAACTCCCATCTTTAGTCTACCATTTCCTGTCTTCTGGACACTGGGTTCCTACATCTTTGTCACTACAGTCTTAATAACTGCGTTCTGGTGCGTAGCATTTCTTCAAAAAGCAAACATGATACAAAAGCAAAAACTTTACAATCCTGTCAGCTACGACTATCTGCTGGAAGACAGCGGGAATCCAATTGCTGGCGGAGAGGAACAGCTACATTAAAACGGGTATGAGACCCATCTAATCCAAACCTGCAGCTCTGATATGGGCTAGTAGAGCGTGCCTTCAGGCAGAAGGAGCAAAGATGTAGGGTGAACTCACAACCCTAGCAAAGACCTCCTGTTGACTTCCCAATAGTCAAAGATCAGTGTGATCACTTCAAGTGTTACGAAAGTATTTTTTTTATAGTTACGGATTTCAGATATTATTGACATCTATGTGAAATAAACTAAAGAATATGCCGTGTGGCATGTGAAGGTACCAAAAGTTCCATTCTGTGTAAAAATATAAAGCTATTAACTTTACAAATATAAATGTGAGAGTATATCCTGCAATATCAGATCTAGTTACCTCTGATGTGAGAACTGTATTTTAGTTCTAATTTGGGCATTTAACTTCATAACTATAAAATGCAAAGGCAACAAACACCTTTACCTGCTAAAATCAGATGTCTTTTTCTCAGTCATTTTAAAAATTCCCTATATAGAATCTTCATAATTAACTTTGTAATGCTTTTTGAGAACAAAATTAGTTATATAAAGTTTTATGAAAATTCTAAATACTACTATTTAGTATAATATATAATA